TACTCGAACTTTGTGAGAGACCCAAATAAGGTACGAGGAGTGAATGAAAGAATTTTGGTAGTGATTCCAACGGTGCCATCGCCGATCTCAATCGAAGAATGCGGTTAGGTCGCGGGTCAATCCGCAAAAGCAATTCTCCAATTAGCTATTAAGAAAGTTGACTAACATTTAAAATAAGTTCATAGCAAATTAGTAAGGTTGTATCAATAATTTGTAATTTTGATACAATTAATAATTTATACTTTACATCCGAATATTTAATGATTATTAACAATAATTTGCATACCAATATCCAATATCTCATGAATATTGCACAACACAATAACCAATAATAGTAGTCAAAACTATTCTTTATTCTCTACCTTTTGAAGTATATGGTCAGACTGTTGTGCAATTCGAAAACATGATGAATATTCGATACTATAAGAAATGACACTTTTTCATGTGAAAATAGGATGCGGGCCATACGGGTGACCCACAATCGACCCACCACCCACCCACATAAGTGCGGGTGGGAGATTTATCAAATCCGCAATCCACCCACATCAATCACCCACTGGGTGCGGGTCGGGTTATTTGCGAGTGGATCGATATCAATCCGCGGATTAACCACCCGAGTGCCCACCCCTATCTAGTGATGACAAAAATTGTGGATATTTGCAGGAATCCGACCTAAATTGATAGGGTAAAACCCAAATTCGGAGAATTTTTTGTGAGTTTTGGTCAAACTGAATACAAATATTGTGGATAATAGGTGGGCATGAATATGATATTCTCCTCCATCCAACTTAAACTTGTCCAATTATGCATTATCTAGAAACGACCATTACTTTTAGTAACATATTTGATATTTATGGTATATATATATATTTCATCTCGTCGTGCAAATTATGTAAGACTATATATTTTGATCATAGTGAATGAGGGCTAGCTGGGGAGTGAGCATACTTCCCAATGTAAGGTCATGTGTTTGATTCCCTATGACGACACTTCCCCTTTCCCTCTGGCACAACCACAAACTGACTGTTAGGTTGAAATTGAATGGTGAAACAAACCAACTTCCATGAAGCTTCTCTATACTTCAACACAGCCAGGAGCCCAGGACCAGTGAACAACATTTTCAGCAGGCACGTTTCCCCCCAGTCTAACAAAGCCTACTTTTGTTGAGTCCTTGCAAGGTTAAATACTAGAATGATTATGAACATCCTGGAAATTCCAGGATACAGAAAAAAAGGTTACGTCTTTAATCATGATCAAAAACCAACAGTGATGAAGACTGATTCAGGTCTTCTCGCCTTCTTTCCTTCCCATCTCCCGGCGCCTGAATGTACTGCCGACACATATTGGCATAAGGTCCACAAGGCCATTATGTTTTTGTGATAGATTGCCATTATATATGTTTTTTTCTATGTGATACGACATTTCTTTTAGACTTGGATTTTTTGGCTACCTACTTACCATCTCGAGTCTCTTCAAATAAATAAGTGCTAATTTTTTCTTACATTATATATAAGTTTTTAATCGAGAGGTATCGCGTTCAAAGTTTTATATTCACAGTTGATTTGAGTATAAGACATGATGGGTGGATGCAATTTCAAGCTCATGCATCGAATCTTATTTAAGGGACGCACAAGGAAATAATATAAGACTCATTCTTGAGTTTCTCCCAATCAATTGAGTTATCGGGACGAAATTGTTTTAGACATCAGAGTATGGAGACTTTGTGCAAACTTCAAATTCAGAGATGAAATCTTGATCGAAGGAGCTTTGTATGAAAATACTAGAAAATTCATATTTGATCTCACTAATAAAATAACTTGAGTTATTAAGATTGATGTTACCATTATGTGCGATATTATAATCCAAGTAACCGTGGGAAGGTGTTAACATTTTGAAAATTGGTTTCTCGTGCGAATGATTATTCCATGTGATAAACCACAACCTTACTTGCTTAACTAGCAAGTAGCTAGCTAGGTAAAAAAAAAAAAAGAATTGTATTTTACTTTGCATGTCAAGAATCCATTTGTGTTTACAACTTGAATTAATTAGGTCCTAATCAAGCTTGGCCTACTCCTAAATCCTAATCAATTAGAAAATAAACAAATTTCGATTTATTTTTATGCTAGGAAAGATGAATTAAGAAGCATATATATTATAAAACAGGTTATAGCTAAGATGGCGGCAAAACAGCCTAATTTGCAGCCGCCGGCCGACGATTTGGATGCATGGAATCTTTCTGGGAGTTGAGCAGTCTGGTTTTGCTTCACACAAATGCCAAACACTATTTAACCTACTCCATCACCTGCTCATCCTCATCTTAATTTTAGTTTATTCACCGTATGGTAAGAATGGAAAGTTGTGTGATGTGATACGAAAAAAAAGAAGATGAAAGGAAATGAATTGTGGTAGTCGGGTATCGAAGATCTAAGTCATTACGGAAGTCTTACGCAACGCTTTTGATTTAACTTATATGTAAGAAATAATTGTCGTTTTGTAACCTTTACGTAATAAATGTGTATTTTACATAATGGTTGTAAAAAGTCAATAAGAAAAAATGACTTAGACTGCCGATTACCGCTGTTTTGTCAATCAACGGGCTAAATTGTTTAAATATATATTTTATTGATATAGATTTATACAAATTATCTAACTTGAAATTATATCCAAGCTAGCTCTGTCAAATTTTTATCAAAAGAAGGAGGTGGTTAATGTATGTTAAACATGGTTAATTATAATTTTTGCAATAATTAAATGTTGGTGGTGAGGAGCAGTTCAAAGTGACACAGCTAGCAGTCTAGCACCAACGATCCTTTCCTGCCTAGTTGGAAATACATTATTATTATTATTATTATTATTATTATTATTATTATTATATGATAAATTATGGGTGGGAATAATGAAAACATAACAAAAAAGTCTAAAAAAAATTAGTGGACAACCGAGATATAATATGAGTCCCACTTCTTTGGCTATAGCAAAATCAAGTCTAGTAAAAATGTACGTTGTTGCCTGAGCTCCCGCATCCTGAGAAACAGAGAATTTATGGATCCTCTTGAGTAAAATTACGACATCCGTATCCAACTCTCCCAACAAAAAAAAAAGACAAGAAATCGTAACCAACTGCCATGCACGAGTCCCAATAATTGATACACTTTCGCTGAACAGCATGAACAACAACTTGGCCAGGCACAAAACTGGTCATCCCAGTCTGAGTCAAAGATGACGACCCAGTCAGATCGACACACACATCTAGTTTAAATAGACGGTAAAATATCAATTGGATTTTATAAGTAAGAAACAAACCCAATGGGTATCCATGGGTTCACGAACATAATCATACATTATTTTTTCGAACACTCATATGATAATGTTATTGAAATTATTCCTACAAATATATTTCAATAAAGACTACAAAATTTATAATTATTCATATTAAGTTTATAATTCCAAAATTAATAACTTTCATAAATTATGCATATTGTTCCAGTTATATACAAAATGACATCGTGTTGCTTTATTAGTTTGGTTCGAGTGGAAAATAGATTAAGTTCGAGAAAAATTCAAACCCAATCCGCTAATTTAAAAATCGGGTAAAACCCACACTGACCTAAAACCCGTCATCTAGGTCTTACTCATTTTGACTGAATTAGATAGAGTTAGATACCCGTGAATTCAGATTCAATTGCTATCCCTACGACCCTACCATACACGTCATGAGCATGTACTGCCCTAGCTTGAACCATTGGTTACTATATACTAACTACTAACTAGCTAGTATAGATTCCAACTTCTAGGTGTGAAAAATGGTGTGCCGAAACTGAAGCAGGAACGTAACCTTTACCAACATCAACGGTATGTAAGGCCAAATAATAGAAAAGGAAGCACCATGGCTTTGATTTGATTAGTAATATATCGTAATACATGTGGAGGTGGAACAATCCACTACAACATATCTAAACTGACTTTCAGGTTTCTCCTTTCAAAGTCAAGAATGTGGCCATGGAAGACTCCATTCTTCTCCACCTACATGTGGAAACTTGTCTGAGAATTTAAAAGACTATAAGTAGATAAGTTTAATTAGAAGAGTTCAACATTTCAATCGTTCGATTTTAATTTTTTTTTGTTGGATCATAAAAAGATTTGATATCATATTAGTATATTTGTTCAAATAATTAAATTTTTTTCAAAGGGATACGAAGGTAAATTTTATGTTGTACATTGATATGATTTGTTCTACCAAACAATTTTTTTGGAATTTTTTAGAAATTTTGGTTTCAATTAAATCTACAACTCTAGTCCGCATGGCCGGTTCAAATGGATGTTTAACTCATACATTAATGTTGAAATTATCGAGAATTTCCACAAAAGACCCTCTCTGCCTGATAAAATAGAACAACACCTTATATTAAAAATTGTATTATTGGCTTAATAAAACAAATTTTGAAATAACTAGAGAAAAAAAAAAATACTTCAGATCAACCTCCATTTTTTATGAATGACCTCTCACCTTAGAAAATGTTGTAAATTACTTTTAATTGGGAGAAAAGTAAAAAAGAAATCACAAGGTGGACTTAAATAAAATTGGAAGAAAAAAATGTTCCATGCCTCCTTCCTAATAGGGTGAGAAAGAAAACAAGAAAGAACAAGTAAAAATGGGGGCCATATTTAAAATTGACAGTTGCTTCTTAATTATAGAGAGTCATCAACAAACTATCCCAACTCAATTAAAGATCAAACAAACATAAATATAATAAATTCATATGAATCAAATATCAATCACATTGGACAACAACTAAACAAAGAGAAAATAAAACCAATTAGTCACCTTTAATTCATTTTCTATCATTAAATTCAAAAACCATTTTTTTTTAATCTTGCAACTAATTCCTATTTGGTCCACCTCATTCCCTCCCCTTCTGCCCACTCAACATATTTTTAGCTAAGTCTATAAATACCCCACAAGCAGTTGGACAAATCCCAAGCACAAAAACCCTTTGCAACAAACCATCAAAGCAAACCAAAGAGAGAAGCTTTATTTCACAAAAAACAATGGGTGTCTTGAGAACCTCCAATTGGAGGCCAAATTTTCTACACTGCTTCAAGCCCACAGATCCAAATCCAGATTCCACAAAGAGCAAGAAGAATGGTGCTTCATCTTCTTCAAACAGGATCTCACTCTTGGATTGGAGTGGCCCACAATCACAGCTCTCAGTGATGAGTGACCTCTCAAACCCTGTCTTCAACCTCCACATCTTCACCATGAGAGAGCTTCAGAAGGTCACATCCAATTTCACCAGGAGCAACTACCTTGGGGAAGGTGGGTTTGGTACAGTTTTCAAAGGGTTTGTTGATGCCAAGCTGAGGCCAGGTTTGGAACCTCAGCCTGTTGCTGTCAAAGTTCTGGACTTGGATGGCTCCCAGGGTCACAGAGAATGGCTGGTAAGATAATTAATTTGGTTTTGTTAATTAAGGTCCATTTTGACATCTTTTGTAATTAGTCTGATTGAGTTAATTAGCCTACACAATTTGACAGTTATCTTCTCACTTGGGCTTAATTTGTTGCAGGCAGAGGTGATCTTCCTTGGCCAATTGAAGCATGACCACCTCGTGAACTTGATTGGATACTGCTGCGAGAATGAACAGAGGGTTCTGGTCTATGAATACATGGAGCGCGGCAATCTCGAGCATCTCCTTTTCAGAAGTAAAAGTTCGAATTCAAACGGAAAAAAGTTCCCATCTTCACATATTGAAATTGTTCATCATAATCAAGGTGTGTTTAATGGATGGGAAAATGCAGGTTATGCAGCAGCTCTGCCATGGCTAACAAGGCTGAAAATTGCAGTTGGAGCAGCAAAAGGGCTGGCTTTCCTGCATGAAGAGCAGAAACCGGTCATCTACCGCGATTTCAAGACATCCAACATCTTGTTAGACTCGGTAAGCAAGGATTTATGAACTCTTTGTCCCTGTCCTTTAGCAGAGGACAAAAAATTGAAAAGACTCGGTGCTTTAATTTATTGGTGATTTGGGTCTCTTTCTGAGCAGGAGTACAATGCAAAGCTTTCGGATTTTGGGCTGGCGACAGATGGGCCGGAAGGGGACGAAACCCATGTCACAACTCAAGTGATGGGGACTGAAGGCTATGCTGCTCCTGAATACGTATCGACCGGTAAAATTCTCACACTAACTATTTGTTAGCCGTTACAACTAGGGCTGTCAATTTGGTTTGGTTTGGTTAACAAACCATTAAGTATGAAAAACCAAAACCAAAAACCAAATTCTCAAAAACCAAAACCAAAATCATTAAGTTCCTTATTGGTTTTCGGTTGCCAAAAACCAATAAGGGCTTTAATGGTTTTGGTTTTGGTTTGGATAACCAAAAAACAAACATGTACTCATACACTCATATTTATTCCCATTTCCCTCCTTTTTATTGAATAAATGTCATAATAATGATAAATCGCCATTACAAATTATTGGTATGCGTGTCAAAAGAAAAAAAAATATTTGTTGATAAATAATTTTATTCTTAATGGTTTCTTAATGGTTTCTATTGGTTTTTCGGTTTTAACCAAACCAAAACCATTACGTTGCTTATTGGTTGAAAACCAAAAAACCGAAACCATTAGCTTTCCAATTGGTTTGGTTTCGGTTAAAACCGAAAAAACCAAAACCAAATGGACAGCCCTAGTTACAACAGGTGTTAGATGGGTCGGGTTGGATTGGATTGGATTCGGTTGGTCGAGTTATGAGTTATGGGTAATTGGGTTGTAAATTTGCAATTATGAGCACCGGTACATGGGTCGTTGTGATTTTAATCAATATGGGTTGTGAGCGGGTTGGATCAATTGGTCAAGTTGTGTCAAATTGTAGCTATGTATTGTTAGAGACTTAGAGGGGTCATATTGGCAAGTTAGGCGGGGCTTGTTGGGTTGGGTTAACTAGGTTTGTGTCAAACCGGTTAGAGGTTGATTCAATTGTCGGTCAATTGTCAATCCGGTTCCCAATTGATTGACTTGTGGATCACTTGAGTTCGAAATTAGTAAAGTAACATATCCATTTGGATTGCCAGTCAATCGTGGCATTACTTATAAACCAAAAATAGCGATAGATAGAGTTAAAGATTTATTAGCTCATGAAGTAATCGAGTTATGGATTGTACCGGTTTCGAATCATTTTATCATGCAAATTAATTTTGACCGCTGATGACAAGTTGGACAAATCTATTATATTTTGTGTAACTATTTTTTTTTTATGATATCTCATAATTGGATTGGCTCATATTAGTATCATAAAATATATTTCAGGTCATTTGACAACAATGAGTGATGTGTTCAGCTTTGGAGTGGTGTTGTTGGAGCTTCTAACAGGCCGTAGATCAGTGGACAAAAAGCTGCCAATTAGAGAACAAGTCCTAACAAAATGGGCCAAACCATTTCTAAAGGACACTCAAAGACTCGACCAGATAATGGACCCAAGGCTCGAAGGGCAGTACTCAATTGAAGGTGCCAAGAAGGCTGCAGCTTTGGCTCACCAATGCCTTAGCCACCATGACAAGTGCAGACCCACAATGACCAAAGTGGTCAGGACCTTGGAGCGCTTGCTGGAGCTCAATGACATCTCAATTGGGTTCTTTGTTTACATTGTGCCAAGTGAAGTAAAAAATGAGAAAGGTTGTGTGATGAAGTGCGTGGAAGAGAAGAATTGTGATGAGCATAAGAATGGTTTCGAGGGTGAATTGAAGGTGGAAGGAAGGAGGAGGAAGAGGCATAGATCAAGCAAATCGAAGAAGGGTTGTAGTAGTTCGAAGTAAAGCTTGTTCATTCTGATACAGATTTGTATAGAAGGTTTGGGGACTAGTTTGTATTCTCATAAACATTGAGGTAAATTAGGAATATACATAAAGAAAGTTGCATAGGTCTTTTCTTCATTTTAGGAGGATTTTGTTTATGATGTGGTTGTGGGTTTAATTATGGTGATAGGTGAATCAAGATATTGAGTTTGATAAAATAAGTGATATTTTACACCGTAGTGAAAGTGAAATTTAAACTAACGATCAACACGATTAAAGCCAATTTATTTATTATTGGACCACACAGACTCACATAAAATGTGTTCTTGTTAAGCGGTTTGATTGATTCTTTCTTCTACTTCTTTCATATTGTTTTGTATTTTCGTGCTTGTGGCTGAAGAAAGGATAATAATTGAACGTGCAAGAGTGTACGGGTGAAATGTTTTCTGCAGAGAACATTTACCAATTTGTAGTTCAAATCAAAGTCATGTCATGTCAAGGAGGAGGGTAATGGGCCTAGACTTTGGTTTTGTTATTTTAATGAAATTAGGTGGATTATCGAAAAAACAAAAAAAAAGTTATGTCAAGGGAGTCATGATTTTTATTTTACTCCAAATATGAATTTATAAAAATGAGTTTTATTTGTATCTCATGGCGATGGCATTTCAAGTCTATAAAAGTGGTGTAATTTAGGCCTAAAGTTTTCTATGTTCATGTTGGCTGAGGCAAGAGGTTGCTTCTGTATGAAAGTATCTTGCTGGTTTTTGAGCAGGGATTTAGTGGAGAGTTGGTGTCTCTATGTGCCATTCAGATCCCGAAATTTCAGTTTTTTTTTTCAAGTATGATATTGTAACATTCTAGACAAATCTCATATCGATAAAACACGAGAAAGATCCATGATTCATAAATAATAAACTAAATTTAATTGACAATACACATTTTCAGGTGAAATTAAAGAGTTTTTGTAAGAACTCCAAAGTTAAACGTTCTTATTATGGAGCAATGCAAGGATCATTGACCTCCTGGGAAGCCACCTTGATATGCATCCCAAAAAAAATATGTGAGGGTCTAGACCCAAAGCGAATAATATCTTATTGGGAAAATGTTCGGGATGTTACAAATTTAGTTGATAAATTAATTTCCAAAATGCAACACTTAAATTTTTTTCCAAAAATACAAGTTTGGTCTAGATTGTTGCATTGTTTAGAGATTTAACTGTCAAATTGTTGGGATATTATTAAAGGTTGCTAATTAACTTTGAACACCAACGTTCTATTTCATACTAATATATATGTTACGAGACTTAATCATCCGCCTTCGTTTCCAAATATAGTCGTTTGGTGCACCAAATTAGTCATTTTGTGATTTTTCTGAATTTCGAACGTCGTAATTTTGTGCTTTGTCAACCGATCGAAGAAATTTTTATTATTGTTTTGCATAGCTTTTCAGTTACTTAAAATATTTTTAGTGAAATATTTTTATAATATATGATGAATGCTAAACAATAAATCTAAAACTATCCTCAAACACCCTAAAATTAAAAAATATCCTCTTTTGAAAATTGCCCCCTATAAAAGTTGTGGTACTTGAAAAGGTATGTCATTTTTTTTTTTTTGCCCTGACCAACGACATATCATAAAATTACGACAATTTAAGTTTATCGAAATCACAAAAGAACTCATTTTTGGTAGTAAAAAACCTTATTTGGAGACAAAGACGAACCAAAACAATTGTGGCATTTGCGGATGCATAGATCTCGAAAAGTTATGCGAAATCTTTTTATTTTGCGCCGAGCGAATATTTGAGTACAAAGTTACGATCTTCTGAATGTTGAGAGTATACTAGGTGAAAATCGTTGGTTTCTTCGCAAGGCAAGATTGCTTGTGTCCACAACAAATTTGCTTAATCGCTTTGGTTAGCAGTGATTTGAAGCAAAATCGCTGAACACTGTGCAAGCTTGTGTATAATGAAAATTTTGTTATAACTTTCGTATTCTGGGATTTTTTTTAACAATATTAGCATTTTTGGAAACAATCCAAAAATTAATTTTCGTTTAATCAATTTCTTAGTTTTGAGTCCGGACAGGTTCACGGTATTATGGGTGTTAATCGATTCAGTTTCGATAACCACTAATCGATATGTCAGTTAGTGGTTAACAAATAAGTAAAAAAATCATACCTATAACAGAAACGATAAGCCTTATCGGTTAACCATATTTTATCGGTTCGGTTAGCGGTTATTTTGATGGTTAAGCAATAGCTACTAACATACATTCTAACAACTAAAGTTATACTTAATCAAACTAAATATCGAACAAAAAGCTTCGATTTTCTTTCAAGAAGTATAACAAACCGAAGCAATAACCACTTGTAATACACAAATCATCATCAAATTAAGTTCAATCCACAACATAACAATGATCAAGAGTACTAAAGACAAATGATCATATAAATCATTCAAAATAATTTAACTACATTTCTACATTGTTAACAAAAAATAATAATATAAAAATAATATCAATACAACATTCATCGTGATTCACCATTTAAATCCAAATTCCAATGCATAAAATAAAAAAATAATCAAACTAACTCAACCAATTTGACAAGTACCAACTAGGAAGATATCAAACACAAACACTACAAGATAATCATCATTCACAAATATCAAAGAAAAAATATTACTAGGGTGTGAGTTTTATTCTGTTTACTGCAAATGGGAGTTAGAGGGGAGTGACTTTCGGCTCTTGACTCTTAAACACAGTTGAGATTCTTGGTGGAGAGTTGTTTGAAATAAGTGGGAATTGAGATGTTTGGAATTGCGAATTTGGTTGGTTTGAATCTTGGAACTTTTTCCCTTAGTCAAAAGTCCAAAACTATTTGGTTATACTAGTAGGTGGTTATCAATTTTCTTATCGGTTAACCACTAAGCAAAATACTGCTAATCAAAACTGAACCAATAAAAAATTATCAGTTATCGATTCATCATTAATTGTCATTATCGATTCGTTTATTGATTAAACTCGATAACCAACTAACCATTTATCACCTGGATATTAAACTTTTGCCTACCAAACGAAATATGTCAACCATCAAAATAGAGATTCCTGAAATCAAAATTGACTTGGCAACCATTATTTTTCTTTTTTTATTTGCCATAAAAATTGACTGCAATCCTATGTCATGCCAAATGAGCACTTTTCAATTAGTGCACTCATACCTAAAATCTTTTTGGTACTAATTTTTCTGCCAATCAAATATTATATTCCTAATCCATTTACCTTTTGAATTTCTTAGGTCTATTTTCTTGGGTCAGCAGGTTAATTAAGGCTGATTTTCTACATCTATGATTAGTGGATTTTCTTGATCTGAAGTCACAAATTGCATATGGTTCAGAAAAATCCAGCACAGAACTTTAAGAGAGGAGCGATTAATTTTCAACCAAAGGCAAGCATTTCAATTCCACGCCACGCCACTCCACTCCACTAACACCAACCCACTTCTTAACAACTTCCCAAGTCAGATTCAAGACAAAGAATGGCTCGTGATATTTCCAAACCTCAAGTCTCTTATGAGACAAACAAGTTTCCAGTCTTAAAATTGATTCCCGTTTGTGAAATTTGATCATGTTTAACTTATTGAGATGAACTCTTTTTTCATAAAAAAAGTTATTGAGACGAATAATATTCAAGATGATTATAGTTTTGTTTCCTCGGAAAAACCAAATGCCACCGTCGGTGCCGAATTCGTTTCCGGCGATGTTGATTCGATGTTTAGCGATGGAAACTCTTGCGGTGCCGTTTGATCGAATGCACCGCCGATTGCTGAAATCGAGACGACCGTCAAATATCCGCCGCCGAATGTTGGCGTCGTTGATTTGATCGATGCACCTCTAAATGGTAAAATCAACGTGACCGTCAAATATCCACCGCCAGGCGGTGTTGATTTGATCGATGCACCTCTAAATGGTAAAATCAACGTGACCGTCAAATATCTACCGCCAGGCGGTGTTGATTTGAACGATGCACCTCTGACTTCTAACCAAGAACGACCGTTACTACGGTTCGCACCTCTCCAAACTACGTTCGAACGAGGGTGTTTGAGTTTTGGGGAATCTACGCTACCGCTACTCCTATGGAGATTCCTGTGGAGAGCTCCGCGACTACGACTACTTCTACCAACTATGGAGATCCTTCCTGGAAGGAGAGCTCCGCGAAGGAGTTACAGAGAAAAAAGGTAAAGTTTGACAGATGTGTTCTGTGTTGATTTTTTTTTTGGTTGTCCCCTTCTCTCTCCTTGCTCCACTGCTTTTATTCGAAAAACTGCTTCGTAGTCTTCACGCTCGGTGGAACCGCTTCCTGAACTGCTCCGTTGTGAAATCCCACGTGTCTCAACCGCTTCGCTCCTCAAGCTGCTTCGCGTGAACTTTACGTGAGTTGTTTTCATGATCCCGCGATGTCGTTTCCTTTCCCAAACAGCTCCGCTTGATTCTACCCGCGACATCGTTTTAATATTAAACGACTCCGCTTCCAGCCTTGCGGTGTCGTTTTCTTTCCCAACCAGCTCCGTTTGTTTTTTTCTTCCGCGACACTGTTTATTATTAAACACTGTCGTTTGCTAGTATAGCGGTACCGCTGGGCTTCCTCGCGGTACTGTTTTTAATTCCGCGGCACCGTTTTAGCTCTCCGCGGTGCCGCTTCTCCCCATCCAACAAGGAATAAAAATAACAATAATTAATTATAAACAAAACTCCTTTTCCAATACCCAACTAACCGCGCGGCCCTTTTTTTATCTTCGGCCAGCGGTGTCGTTTCCGGTGTTGCGGTACCGCTGAGCTTCCTTGCGGTACCATTTTTTCAGTTTTGCGGTACCGTTTTAACTCTCCGCGACACCGCTCAACTCCAAACGACACCGTTTTTTACCCGCGGCATCGACTTAAATGCCGAGACTAATTAATGCGGCATTTAATCCCGGCCAAATTAATTTTAGGTGTCAACAAATGCCCCCCACAACTTGGTTTATAAGAATTTATGAACCAAGTTGTTGACACAACTTAAATCACCTAAAATTGATTCATATCTAAATTCACTTTGCCCAAAAAAGCATACAATTCACGCCTGAGCAAAAAAATATTACTTGGCCACAATCATCATAACGTAGCACTACCAAAACAATTTCAATCGTGCTACGTAA